TCGATGAAACGTCCATTTTTTCGATGAAACGGCGTTCGACGAAACGGCGTTCGATGAAATGTCCGGGAACCATAGCAGACGTGCCGGCCGGAGTACACAAATAAAATTCGAATAAAAATGGGTAACGAGCTTACACTTCTTAATATATTTAATAAATATCAAAAAGCACGTATGGCGATTTTAGATTAGAAACTCAATCGAAGGCGAAAATAGGAGGTTATCGGAGACGACAGTGGAAGAAAACAACAACAACAACAGCAAAGTTGCAGACGGCCCTCAAAATGCCCGGGCCTAGCGCAGACGAACCGGGGGTAGTAAGCGCCGAAGCGAAGGAAAGGGAGTAAAAACTAAGCCAAACAAAGCAAGGATTTTGTTCTTAGCCCGAGACTGAGGCAGGAAAAGAGGAAAGTTTCGAAGTAGAAGAAAAATGAACAGTCGAGGACACGTCTCTATGTCCTCGACAAACAAAATGGTTAACATCCACCAGCTCGCCTGCGCAATCACTACATTATCAAAGCAAGGATACGCGATTGTTAACACGTCGGGCAAAAAAAAAAAAAAAAAAAAAAATATATATACACAGCAACATATAAGCAGAAGGAAGAAATAACGCGGCAGAGTGCCGTCGCCTGAAAAATATAAAAGAAAGAAGACTCAAAAATGAAAAGAGTGGAGACGGTTCAACGGGTGTCGGCCTTTATCGTAGAAGTAAAGAAGCAGCGAAGCAGAAGATGTTGGTCGTCCCCGCGCTAACAATCGGAATTTGTGCACTGTAAATAACGTGACTGAAATCATCTTTTTTCGCGGGGCTACGACGCTCTCCCCTTCTTTCTTTGCAAGCGCGAGAAGTCTGCTTTTTTCGTAACTCCGCTTTTGTTAATCTATAATCGCGTCAGCTTTGAATATGCACAACGCCTTCTTTCGGAGCATACTGACATCGCCGTAACGTACGTGGTTCGAAATTGACTTCTGCTTCTTCATCCGGAGACGATCTTAACGGGATTAGCCAGCTCGCCTGTTCGACGAAATGGTTATAAGCAAGACACTCATGAAACATGGGAATTGCAACGACAAAACGAATTGACTGATAAGAACAATAAAGTTGAAACGAAGCTATGTTCTGAAATGTTTGTACATTTCCCTTTTTCACGAAACAGCGCGAAGGCATACATTCGTGTTTTGCTTGGCTTACATAAGTTGTGACAGAATGTTTTCTTCGGGAGAACTCCGAAATTGCACCCAGAAAGCTGTAACATCTTTCCCACGGGAAGAGAATGTCTTTCACTCATGAGCTGGCACCCATTTTTTAACTTTCAAACCAGCGAATGTCCGTGACAATTTTTTTTCGTTGGTCACCTCGCACGGAGATAGGCAAAACCAATGGATTTCGGAGAATTTGTCTGCCAGCGGAGACTCCGAGCTCGCCAGGGGCGCTGCAATCACTTTTCGCCCGTTTTCCGCGAGAGTTGCCAGTATTGGCTTCCACGGTATTTGGTATTACAGCTTGAGGCAACAAAAACAGCAGTAACTTGTGTTGGACAACGTTTGTTGCCCTAATCGCATCGCTGGCCCAGCGAATTTCGGGCCGGCAACACGGCAGCACACATAGCTTCGATGGCAGAACTAGTTCCCTATCAATAACGTATTACTCAAATAACGGCTTGGAAAACGTTATTAAACAATAATGAAGGCTGGCGTGCAGCTAAAATAATTTGATGAATGTTTGTGCTGGGTAATTGCGGAAAGCAATTGTCAAAATTGTCACAGCTACGTTCGTGAACGTTCAAAATGGTCTTGGAATCAGAACTGCCGAGAAACCAGCTCACATGACTGCTAGTGAAATAAAATAGCAGGCCTACTCACTCGTTGATGATGTATAATGAAAATAATCCAGGAAAGCAAAGATTAAAAATCAAAGCATTAAAACGACCGCTCTCATCATGGTTGCTGATGCTTGGAACATGAAAACAGCCGCTGCCAGGCACCTGATTTGTTTTAAAAGTACCCAGGGCGTTTTGGGGATTGAAGCGATCACATAGTAGGCAGTAGCAAATAAACAGCGTTGAGAAATATTTATTCCAGCGATTGTTATGGAGGCTGATCGTGTCGATGTCGCAGTTTGTAAGCACTGTCAGTTCAGCTCAACACCACGCAACAAAAGACGCTTTGGGGTACTGCCGGTGCTAACTCAATTTTAAAGTAGAAATAGAAATTGCATGAAAGAAAAAACCGGACAGAAACACTTCATATGGTGGCGTAAATCCCGAACATATATCAGCGATCTCACTTTCCTCGGTTATGGGTATCCGCTTTGTCAGCGAATGAAGACCATTTGGATAAAATTAAGGGCGGAAAATACTCCTCGTGTCAAGTTTGCTAGTCGCAGTGACTGGTTAATGTTGTCCCGTAGCAATTTCCGGCCTTTCGAACGCACTAGCACTTTGTAGTCACATTTCCAGCGACGCCGCGCCGCACACGAACGAAGGTAAAAAATCAAGATGGCGGTGTGTTCCCCGTGTTGTCCCCGCCGTCAGCGCGGTTTGACAGAATTGTCGGACGAAAAATCCGCCAACATGGTTGCTGCGCGGCAGCAACATGTTGCCGGACTGTTGTTGCCGCGATGTGACAGGGTCGCCGGCAACATGAGGAAATCGTGCTGCCAGATAGAGTTGTCCAACTGTTGCCTCAGTGTGAAAGTCCTTGAGCAATGGCAGTCGGCAAATAAATTCGAGAAATATGAGCATCGTTCATCCCCTCAACTCAGAGCCAAAACAAGCGCCCACGTGGCCTGGTGCCTGTCCTACGCCGCCAACATTAGTCATAGCCACGCGCTGGGGCTGGCAAAGTAGAAAAAGCGTGCTGAGCTCCAGGCATTGTCAAAGTTCGACTATTCTCATCACCGCAGTGGCGGTTCACGATCAACTACCCGAGTATCCACCAAGGCATTGATTGTTACGAGCAGAAGTTGAGTGCTCGCGCAGTTCTCGTGCGTCAGGCGGGTGGTTTCACAGTAGCGTCATCAAGCTTTGCGAAGGCAAGGCCGAAAGAAATAGTTCTTTGTTATCCTCACAATTTCACCGGCGCAAAGAAGTGTCTGAATCAGTGGCGGTCTATGCGAGTATACTGGGCCAAACTAGGACCAGTACGCCTCTGCAAAAGTCATAAACATTCCAACCCGATATCGTTGCATGGCTCTCCAGTTGGTCATGGAAGCAGCAGAGATGGGATGGTTTCGTTGGCTTCGGGTAAATGGCATGACAGACTTCACACGACAAAATGCTTTTCCGAAACATTTCTTCCTGTTTAGGCAAGATTTCTAAAACTTAGCTTTAAACTAAGCAGATAATTGCACAACTTTCTAATTCAGTACAGTGTACTTGATGATAATAGCGTGCTGTGGTTGACCGCCATCTGCACTATAGGTTGGAAAAAACTCAGTTGTTGGCTTTGAAATGACGTTGTGTAATTGTGCTATTCTGCCAGAAAGCAATGTGTGTGTGTGTTTTTTTTTACAGCGAAGCTGTAAAGAATACACACACATTGCTTTCTGGCAGAATAGCACAATTCTACCAGCCTCTACCAGCCAAGGAAATTTTTGTGTAGTTGGCGTTGTAAGCAAAAAAACTCCTGGCGAACATTTGAAGGCAAAACATCATATCTCATTTGAAATCAGGCATACAGCATACAGTTCAGTATCCGTTTCAATAAAGAAAACCACAAAACAAGCATCAAAACCACATGATTGATGATAAGACGCGTGTGAACAATAGGAACACCCTTCCACGCGTTCCGGTTGGGATTAGGATTGCAGCTGCTTCGAAAGGGGTTGACGTCATTCGAAGCCGTCGTGTGAGGTGCAAACCGCATAATGATGAATGATAACGCCGCCTGCGAAGAATACGAAGCACGTTCCTTCTCCTCGTATGTGTTTTCGTGTCGGCGTTCTCACGAAAGAAATACTTCAGAAGATTGAAGCGAAAAGTACAAACACCACGTATACAACATACAGGACAACATTCGTTTCAATAAAGAATAAGCACAAAACAAGCATCGTAACCATATAATGAATAATAAGGAACTCCTCAAAACAATGCGAAGCCCGTAGCGCTCACCGCATACGTTCCCGGCAGGCCTGTAGACAGGATTCTGTTCCGGGGGGGGGGGGCACCCATGACAAAATGCTGTATGAGAGGAGGCCCCAGCAGAATGGAAGATTTTTTTTTTTTTTTTTTTTGCGGGGGGAGGGAGGTGGAGCGGGGGGGGGGGGGGGGGGTGGCCCGGGCCCCATGCCTCCCCCCCTCCCCCCAGCCACGTGCCTGGTTCCCGGTGAAGATTACTCTTGCCCAAGCTGCCGCGGCGACGGCAGCTTGCGACTATGGAGTGACGTCATATATAAAAGAAGAACCTTACGTCCGGACGCAGCGGATGCTAGGAGCCAGGCACGTAGCCAGGGGGGGGGGGGGGGGGGGGACGGGACGGAAGATGAAACGGAGTATAGTATTGGTGGTTTACTGGCGCAAAAGCGACGAAGGCCATACTGCGAAACGGAGCACATCAACTGATTTCATTGTTGCTGCAGCAGCGCGATGAATAAGCCACTCCCGAGGAGCAGAGTGAATACTAGGAGCGGCAATGGAAAAAGAAACGGCAATACGACCAGCGGCGGCGTGCTGCGACCGGCGGCGGCATTTCGTGTAGTGCAGTAGGCAATCGTTGCATTTGATACCACAGCTGCGCTGACCAACCACCTTCACAGCGTGGATTGGAGCCCCAGTTTTTTTTTTTTTTTTTTTTTTACTTTTGCTACGTGAAATGAGCGAAATAAAAGTAACGTGCTGCAGATAAATCATTGCAGCACTCAAGATTCAAGGGACAATAAAGATTGTCCCAAATAATGTGAGCCAGTACAGAAGGTCGCCGTGATTAAGCTGGAATGGTGGTCACCTGTGCTTTACTTAATTTTCAGCGGTATTTGTATCTTTTTTTTTTTTTTTTCACAGCTCCTGAAAAAAATGCCCAAGGAGCGGGCAACCTTGGATGAAGTTCTTGCTCACCCGTGGGTCGTGGACAACGCTGACACGACTGTCGAGGCATCAACCCTGTGAATAAAGTCTCGGTAGTGTGATACCAGGGTTTAGTGAGCAAAGCATGTTGCAGGCTTTGCAACTGGGGTAATATTGCATCAGACTATTAGATTATTTTTCCCTTCCTGGTTTTCTTAGTCCTCCTCTTTTTTTGTGTGTGTAATTGTTTCAACAAGTGATATATCTGTATGTATGTTTCATAATGTGAAGTATCAATGGTTTGTAATTTAAATTTTGTCAATAAACGGTTTAACGCAATTTTCAAGTTCTTTCGTTGCCATATACTCTACAAGATCGCCACCTGTGGTTACATGTGCTGTAAATTCTCCGTCGCTAGGTCTATGCGGAGACTGGCTTAGCACCATAAATATACAGTCGAAAAACATGCCCACAGCCCTCTAGGAATGCCGTCAGTGGCAACATTCCAGGGCCTCCTCCGGTAGCTTTGATTTTCTATACCAGGAATTCTACCGCATGACAGCACGGCTAAAGCAACAATTGCCGCTGGTATGCTTCCAGATGATGACGATCTCTAAAGCTTGAGTCTGGAGTGAGATGGGTAATGTTTTAGGGTAATATAGTGACTGGTCAAATCCTTAGCACACCCGTGAATTATGCAAATGTGGGTTCACCTGTCGCAAAACATTGAGCAGTAAGACTGCGGTGTTAATGTGGCTTTACACCGCTTTCTCCAACGGCTGGTGTACACGGTCCATTGAAAGTGCAACATTGCATCAAAATTATACTTCGAGACATTCTGTTCATGGAAATTTGATTTTATCTGCCTCGGTGAAGTTCTTAATGTGCCCCTCTCGGGCCAAACGAAATTGACCAGGCAATGCGTGCACGAAAACCACAGGCGACGCACTGACCAGTCAACTCTGTATGCCAGAGACGCTGGCCTACAGGGTCGGCTGGTCAAAATGTTGAGCCAGGAGTTATGTGCAGTGCTCTCAAAGGCAAAAGCGCAGCTCTTTGGAATGCTGCATTCGTACGAGCAAAAGAAGCAATAAGCCCAAATAGAAAAATAAGGAATGGCAGTTGTTTGGGCATGGGAGAAGTACAGCGACTATTTCGTCGACAAGGAATCACAACGGATCACAACCCATTGGTTCGTCTCTTATCAAAGGCGCTGGATGATGTCAGACCGAGACTACAAGGGCATGATGAGCATGAATTGTTAAAGCTTTAGTATCACATGTGTGCCGGGTAAAGAACTGCTGAGCTGCTGATGCGCTTTCCAGGGCACCTCTCCAAGGAACTGGGCCGTTGGACCTTGAGCAACACATCGGAGCTCATGTTTATCACGTATGCGCCAATATTCCTGTCAAGGAAACGTGTCTTTAATGGCTCGTCGAGAACCAGAAAAAAATATCCGGTGTGTCAAGTGGTGCGCAAGTACTGCCAACAAACCTGGCCCACTCGTCGTGACCTGAACAGCAGTGCTTAAAGACAGGGGGTCTCGGACCCCCCGCCATAGCTCTGGTGTTTGGGAAAACAAAATCATGGCTACTCGATATTGTCATCAGAAATGTTAGAATTTCCCCTCGAAGATTTCTTGAGCAGACATTTCCAAAGAGAAAAAAACACACAAAAAAAAAAAAACCAACAAAAACAACAACAACTAGGTTCTTAGTAGCCACGTCGATTTCGTGTGGAACAAAATGAAGGATATTTCAGGGACACGTAATTCTTGACGATAAAAATAATCGGAATCCTCGTTGTTAGGTTTTGTTGCCCGAGAAGCATGCCGGGTTACGCATACGTTTTAATGAAGTTCGTTTTGTGTGTAACTAATATGAGCCCCCCTCCCTCCCCTCCCCCTTTACCAGGGACTTTAAGCACTCTCTGAACGTCAACGTCGGACCCTTCTACTAGTTCCGGCCCAAGTTCACGCTAGAAGACGACCTTCTGCTGTATGTTGCGCTAGGATCGTCATACCTGATAATTGCCGAAAAGGTCCTGCGATTTGTACACCAAGGGAACTTTGAAATCGTCAAGACCAGGCCAAAGCCAAACCTTGTCTGGTGGCCTGACATTGGAAAATATGTTGAGGATACAGTAAAGAGGTGCCAACGTTGCATTGACTGGTGGCCTGATATTGGAAAATATGTTGAGGATACAGTAAAGAGGTGCCAACGTTGCATTGAAAAGTCAAAGAAGAGAAGGATGCCGTTTTTGCCGACATACTTCCTAGAACGTGCAGCGTATAGCAGTGGACCTGGGTACCTAGGTTGGACATTTGTATGTACGTTTTAAAAGGTTACGGAAGTGACGTATTGGCGTGTGATTGGAGGACGCAATTGCCTCCACGAGCCAGACGCCGGTACGTCACTTCCGTGACCTTCTACAATGTAGAGGTAAATGTTCAACTTAGGTACCAGTTCTACCATGGCGGTTAATTATCAGTGACTATTTTTCGAGATACCCAGAAATAGCCACAGCTCAACAGTCCCACTTCGCAAGCCGTAGTAAATCATTGAAGGAGCATTTTGGCTCGCCAAGGTATACCAGAGGTTGTCGTCTCTGACAACCGCTCTCAATTTTTTCGTGTCAGCACTTGAGCGTTTTCTGCTTTTGCTCGTGACTATGGGATTCAACACGTCACATCCAGTCCCCATTATTCACAGAGTAATGGGCTGGCAGAAGTGACTGTGGAAATCATCAAAAGGTCAATGAGGAAGACAGGAGACCCCAAAACACTCCTGTCATACAGAAAAGCGCTGACCCATTGAGGAGGCATCATAAATGTCGGTTGCTAGTTGAAAGAACTGTCCTGTCTGTGTGAGCCATCGGCCATACCATGCTGAATACGCCGGTTCTCGTCTGTCTGTGTGTGTCAGTCCCTATATGTTTTATTCTTTCGTGTTTCAAGTCATTTGTGCCAACCTACTCTCTGTTCATGGTTGAGTTCATTTTGATTATAAAAGGTGTAATGTTTGAGATACCTCTCTGGAGAATCTCGTTTTTTATAAACGAATGAATACGACAATACAATACCAAGTCAAACATGAAACGTCTTGTCTGTCAAGAAATCTTTTATGCATTGAGCATACAACCGCGGATTGCATAGCAATAAAGGTCTTGAAGGGTGTTATATCTTCATGCCGTATCGCAGGTTTTTTATAAGTAAAAAAAGACGGATACACAGTGCTGCCTATTAACGAATGCTTCACTTTACATATGACCGTTTCTAAGCGCACCAAATGATTCAAGGTCAATCGTCCTCGGCGGAAGCCGCACTGGTTGTTATATAAAATGTTGTCCTTTTCAAGGACGTGCACCAGCCGCCTGTTTATCAGTCTTTCATATGTTTTCCCAATGCAGCTGGCTTAAGCTTTGGGACGGTAACTACAGGGCGGAGATGGATATTTACCCGGCTTCAGGAGAAACATAATGTGTGCCCGTTTCCAAGCCACCGGAAGACAAGCCTTTTCCTACAAAGAATTGAAGAAATTAAGAAGGGATTCAAAAGATTCTGGAGAGAAATTACGCAGCTATTCGTGATGCAGGCTATCTGGTCCAGGAGAAGAGGTTTTATGTGAAGGGCATTACCTAGCTCATACCGCGTGAAAGGCTGATTATAACTTGGACGAATCGGAATAACTAGACGAGCTGGACAAGAAGTAAAGATACTCCCCAAGGACATTAGCCATATTTTTTAGTGATGCAGAGGGAGGGTTGAAAATGGGGATCATGGAACCCCTGTATAGTTCCCTTTAGTTTTTCTGAATCTATCTCAGACATGCTCAGCAAGCACACAGCTGCTCAGAGAGGACACATACTTCATTCAAGTCTTCCTCTTTGCTTGCTTACGAGTCCACCGGGCTTTGGCCCTCCGTTTTTTAAACTCCGCCACATTTGTTGAGCTGGGTACCGCCTGAATTTTCCCATGCCCTATTTTGCTCCGTGCGCGTAGAGGCACGTTCCTTATTCCACCAAGGTTTGCACTTACGTGGCAAAGTATCGGTAGCTTGTGGAACTGACTGCCCAGCAGCGTTTATTATCTGCTCTGTGACATACAGTGTGGCCTCATCCGAAGTCATGGAGGAAAGCAGGGATGTATCCAATGTGGAGTTTAACTTAAAAAGAGACCAATCTGTTTCGTCTAGCTTCCACTGAGGCATTCGTTTTAAAAGAGTGGGAAGACAAATGTCACTCTCTAAAACAATAGGAAAGTGGTCACTCCCAAAAGAGTTAAGGACCTGCCAATAAAAAATAGGCAGTAATGGAGATGATGCAATAGATAAATCAAAATATGTAAATGAATTGTGACCTAAACTAAAAATTGTAGGCTTTCTCCCATTAAAAATGCATAGTTGAGATGATAGAAAAATCGTTCAATTACTCTATCTTGAGTATCGAGACGAGTGCAGCCACACATGGGATGAAGGGCATTAAAATAACCTAAGATTAAAAAGGGTTGAGGGACAAAGTCAAATTTGGGGGTTTTACGTGTCAAACCAACGGCGGGCATCTGCCCGTCGTTGGTTGCGGTTGCGAACGCGGTTGTATAAAGATCCAGTACAATTGCACGCGCACTCGATGACATCAAGTGCGCGTGAAATTGTACTGGATCTTTATACAACAGCATTCGCAACCGCTTTGCAAACGCGGATCCGCTCCCAGTGTGAATGAGCGGTAAAAGAGGAGGTATACCGCTACGGCTTCCAGTGGTGTGCAGAGTGGGACCTCGGAGCAGGCAACCCCTCTCTGCAGAATCAGTGCCACGCCCCAGGAAGTGAAATTAAAACGATCTTTCCGAAAAGTCTGATGACGCCTTAAAATCTGTGTATAATAAGAATGAAGATAAGTCACTTGTAAAGCGAGGGCAATAGGCCAAAGCTCACTCATAAAGTAATTAACGTCATCAGTATTAGGCAAAAGGCCACGACAGTTCCACTGCATAAAATGCAAATTTTGCTTCTAATAAAATGAGGTGTGAAATTAAAAAGAGGCAAGAAAACACGTAGAATATTAAAATGATACAAGGTTATTTAGGAGAAACCACTGGCTTTTTCCCGTTCTGCCTCTGAGTATTCCACTCCATGTCATCCTGGTCGGATACAAGAGTGGACGACTCAGAGGCCTCATCCATTGCCTTGACTTCTGAAAGCGAGGTTCTGCTTGAGGGTTTTGGCTGACTCGTTGCACGGGGCGGCACGCCCCGGCCACGACCAGCCGAAGAGGCTGTGGAGGTGCAGGGCAGAGTGTCTTTCAACTCTACCCGCTC